AAAAAAAAACGGATAATAATGATGCATATATATATATATATATGACATATATATATATATATATATATATATGCAGATAGATATTATGTGCAACCGTTCGCTGTGTAAATCCATATATACAAACATATAGACAGAACGCATGCAGAGATAGATAATATGGATACATACATGTATACACATGTAAACAGACATGCATGCACGAACTCGTGATACTGAAGGAAACAAAAGTGGTAATATAGAGTACGCCACGCGACAAGAGTACATACACTCCAGTGTTTCTTGTTTAGTTATAGAAAGGGAACAACACAACACCACGAGAAAGCTGCAGAGCAGTGCAAGCTGCATGCATCTCGTGCTGCTGCTGAGAAAGCTGTCGCAGCTCACCTGCCAGACGGGGCCGTTGTGTCCGCGGAGTTCTTGGATAAANTGCTGCTGAGAAAGCTGTCGCAGCTCACCTGCCAGACGGGGCCGTTGTGTCCGCGGAGTTCTTGGATAAACTGAGCTCCACCAGAGTCTGCAGAAACATCCCAAAGACGAATAGACTCGTCGCTGCTGGCTGTTGCAACACGGGTGCCGTACAAGTCGAAGGAAACGGCGTGGAGGGGGCCGCCATGAAAGGTCTCAAAATGCGAGATAAGCTGCGTCATGCTGCCGATCTCGTAGAAAAATAAAAAGAAATAAATATTTTAATTTAATTTATTCAAAAAAATTTCAGCTTTCCTCATAAAATATGTCTCAATCGAGCTCCGTGTTCAGGTTGCCACTCACGGCTATAACGAAACGCACAGACATCCGAAACAGAAGCCGATGGACTGTTACCGATGCTTCTGAATATGAAAATAAATAAATATTTATTTAATGAATTATATTTCTTCTTTTTATTCTATTTTTACACAGAGATCGCAGACAAACACCACGTATTCTTCTTCTTCTTCCCGCGGTAGCCTGCTGCTGCAGGCTGACGTGTCACGACGCAGCCGCTGTATTGAATACATGCATATTGTAAGTATTGGGGCTCCCCCTTGCACATGAGCAGCTTCAGGGTATATTAGGCTCTTTATAAGAGGTATATTTCTTCTGTATTCTGCTCAAAAGAAACAAAACAAATAGTATAAACGCCGAGCCGCCGCTGCAGGCGCGCAGGACCGGGGGTGAGTGAGTGAGCTCCCTGCATCATCACCACAGCCCCCTGAGTTTAAGTGTCTACAGCATTCCTCTGTTTTTCTTTTGCACTTTCTCTGTCGCTTCTCTTTTTCACAGAGTCTTCGCTTTACCGCTTTCCGTTTGTTAGCTGCTTGGTCTTCGGGTGTACAGGCAGCTCCTCCCGCGCCTTCTACTCAGCGCCTGCACGCAGCTGCACTCTCATTGCTCTTGACTCTTGTGCATGCAGAGCTGCTCCTGCGCGAGTGCGNCGCCTGCACGCAGCTGCACTCTCATTGCTCTTGACTCTTGTGCATGCAGAGCTGCTCCTGCGCGAGTGCGACCACGTCCGACCTGCCGGCTGATATTTCCTCGTGTTTCTGCTTCTGCTGGCGACGCTGGGGCTGCATGCAAGTTGCGGCTTGCATTGCGGTGGTGGTGGTTTTTTCTTAGTTTCTCTTTGGCCTGCATAGAGGAAATTCTTCTGCGCGTTCCCCCCAAGCCGCAATGAGTGTCGAGGTTGATATGCAGCCTGCAGAAGCAGCAGCCAACGCTGCTGCTGCTGCTGCTGCTGCTGCTGCTGCTGCAGATGGTGATATGTCACAGGACCTGAACTGCTGCGACAGCGACAGCGGCGATGGCCTGAGAAGGTACCTCGAGGCAAAGGTGGAGCAGCTGGAGCGCACCATTGCTGAGAAGACCCAAAACAAACAAAGATTAGAAGCACAGCGAAATGAATTCAACGCAAAGGGTCAGACAAACTCTCCATCTACTGCTGCACTCACTCTCTTTGCTGCTGCTGCTGCTGCTTCTGCTGCTGCTGCTGCTGCTGCTGCTGTTGCTGCTTCTCCTGCTCTTGTTCTTTTTGCTGCTGCTGATAACTGCA